GGCCAAGGCCAGCTCCTGAAGCTCCCCTCCAGTGCATTCCCCAGCTCATGTGATCCCAACTGCATATCCCACAGCCTTGCCGGCCACCCCTGGGTGATTTAAAATGGCCCAGGGGCTCCTGCCGTCAACAGTAGCAGCTCAGTTGGGCTAAGGCAGCTTCCTGCCACTTGCTCTGTGCCATTCCTTTCATGTTCCTGTGGCCCCGGGGAGGGAGGGGATCTCGGTGCACTGCCCCCATTTCATGCACACGCTAGAAATCCCTTTAGCCTGAGTCCAGCACTCCCCCGCCCACCACCGTTTAGTCTTAGTTCCTCAGGTGTCTCCAGGACACTTCCCCGAGGGGAAAGAAGAACCCCCTCCCCCATGATGTCCCTCCCTGCCTGAGGCAGCTTTAGCACATGGTGGGAACCCTGTGTCCCAAACTCGGTTTGTGGAAAAACACTGGCACATCCCAAGGTGGAGTCTGGGATCACGTGACCTGGCCACAGGCCCTTGCTGAGTCACGGCAGCCCTTACTCACAGGTTGCCTGGAGTGTCTTGAGAAAGGCTCAGGTGGTGGATACGCTCCTCCTAAGGCTTGTTGCTTTTCCCCTAATGGCCCATTACCAGGAATAGGCCCTTCCCAAGCAGCTACCTAGCCTGAAAGCATCATGCCCAGTGGGTATTGCCCTCGTGAAACTCCACCTGAAACCCAGGCACATAGTCACCACTGAGAACGTCTGACACAAACCTGAGCCAGGCCAACACACGGAATGCTCCTATCGGGCAAATCGTCACTTCTCCGATGACGCCGCCCGTAACGTCTCTTGTACAAAACACAGCGTCACGATGCCAGAATCATACTGCCACAATAGCACTGTGAAGAATACGGGGTACTGACCATGTCACAGCAGGCGTGCTTTCCTGCCGCCTGGCCACTGCGAAGGAGTAACAGGGTAATTCAGTCTTTAAAAAACCCCTTGATTTTGGCTGAATGAACCAGTGAACTTGTCAGAATGAAGAATGAAATGGATCACAATAAAACATGTAGCATACTTAGAAGGCTAGAGAAACACACACTTAGAAGCAAGGCAATTGGTGAAGGGAGACCTGGGGGGGCCACGTGCCCACCCCCAAGCCTGAAGAAGGGCAGAAACAACTCCCCTCAGCTCAGTCCTATCTTTGCTCCATCCCTGTCACAGCTCTTCCTCCTCCCCTGAGCGATGCAGCTGAGGGTAGGGATGTTAAATATTGGTTAACTGAATAGTCGAGTAACCTCATGAATTCTCATCGATTAGTCAACTATTCTATAGTTCCCGGGGGCGGGGCCAGCAGCTACTGTATCAGAGGCAGCAGCACGGGGTGTAAGAAGGGAGCTGGTCCATGAGGGGAACCAGTTTAAAAACCAGCTCCCCTTGTGGATTGGCTGCCCTGTCGCCCAGAGCTGCTGCCTCTGATAAAGAGGCAGCAGCGTGGCGTGGCAACAATCCCTGTCTAAGGGGAATCTGAGCTCTCCGACCCAGCACAAGCCAGAACTGAGCCAGGCTGCCTGCCTGCTTGGCTCCTAATACACTTTAAATGCAAAGCTGCAGCAGAAGTAGGTTCTGGACCTGGTGTGAGCCAGAACTCAGTCGGGCTGCTGGTCAGCCTGCTAAAAAATGTACTGGCAAGTGTGGGGGAGGGAAATATATGTAGTCTATAGCAGTAACCTGTAAGCTTTTGCTTCTCGGTTAATGGACGATGCTATTACATCCCTAGCTGAGGGAACTTGCAGGGCTGGGCGTCCGTAGCAACAGCAGGGGTGTGTCCCCCCCCCACACTCACTGGCAATGACAGGGCACACAGAGCAACACAGCTCCAGTTTGTTTCATGCTCTCAGCTGTGTTGCTCCGTTTCTCACAGGTGAATGCAGGTTGGTCCTGCCTCTCCCCCAAGCGACGTGGCCGGGGGACCAGAGTGAGACACTTGCCCTACCACTGCTACTGAGTACGGGGGAGGAAACCCAGCTGTGGGCACCAGACACCCCCGCCCTTTGCTAGTCCTCCCACCGGCTACTGGCCAGCCCTTTGTCCCTCCCACCCATGGCGTTTGGGCCATGTGCCTCCTCGTGCCCTACCCTCACTCATCGCCTGGGTATAGAAATATAACAATTCAGTAGAAGATCCACATTTAGGTATTAGGGATGTGAATGGCTATGTAGTTAACCGAATAGAGCTCTGCACGGATATCTGCGTCTGCAAAAAACGATCCCTGGATATCCACATCCACGGATGCGCATACCCACAGATTTGCCGGGCTCTACTTATAAAGAAAATGGCAAATTAAAAGAACACAGAATGACCTTATTCATTTAAATCTCATGCCTTTGGGGTGTATGGCATTATTTTTGAATGCTTGCAGCTGTCAATATCTCCTGGGCTTGTATCCCTCTATTTAGTAAAAATCACAGTTGAAATTGCTTTTGAGAACACTTGCATACAAGGTAATACAGTTCCTAAAGGTATTTAGGCAACTCTTGCCATTTTCAAAAGCATCACAGTGCTTTCAACCTTTACAAACCTGGCCTGTGCTGAATATTTGGGAACCGACTTCTACACACAAGGAGGGTGATGGAGAGAGAAGCAAGCCCCCTGGTTGGATCAAGGGGAACGGAAGAAGTTTGGGCAGGAGCCAGGAAATCAGTCAGCCTGGTGTCATATGCTCTCCAGAAGAATAAGCTTGTGTATTAAAAACCTGGAGGAAAAACAGAAGGGAAATGTGGAATGCAAGCTGATTGCTGCGATACAAACATGGGGTTCCTAGAGTTCTCAGCAGTAGGGTCGTTTTCAGCGACTCCCAGAGTTCTCAGCAGTAGGGTCGTTTTCAGCGACTCCCGTATTAGAAACACGCAGTGACGGCAGCTGCCCGGTGCTAACGGAGTTACAGGATGATGTGCTAAGAGTAATACAAATCAAATCCTTTTAAACAAGGAGGGAGTCCTATGGCACCTGAGAGACTCATGGCTGTATCTGGGCATCAGCTTACCTGTCTCAGCTGGGACAGGTATGGAGTCACAGAGCCCAGGGGTGAACTAGGTATGTGTGGAGGTCACCACAGCCCCTGGGAGCGAGTCAGTGAGTGATGCTTCCCCTTCTGCTGTGCATCCTTGGGCCGATCCAGGCCACGACTGGGTTGGAGCTGGGAGGGTGGGGGTGAATCTCCCCTGGCTATGGCCAGAGTGGGCTGGGACTGGGACGGGCATCTGAAAGTGAGTTTCTGCCCATGAAAGCTTGTGCCCAAGTACATTGTGAGTCTTCCAGGTGCCGCAGGCCTCCTCGGGTTGTTTCTACAGACTAGGGAAGTGAACCCCTGCATACGCACCCCAAGGAGCAAGTAGCCTGGCCCCACAGCCGCCCCCCAGGGACGAGTGCCAAGACCTGCCCCCCCAGGCGGCCCCCCAGGGGCAGGGGGTCCCAGTGGGGCTGGGCTGAGGCAGGGCAGGGAGCTGCCCGGCGCTGGGACGCGGCCCGCTCCCTGGGTCCCGGGAAGCGGCTAAGCCCGGCCCCAGGGCTGGGGGCGGGGAGGGGGCGGCGCCCGGCTCGGAGCTTTTAAAGCCCCGGGGGCGGGTGACTCAGCACTTCGCCAGCGAGCGGGATCCGGCTGCAGAGAGTG